TCGCTGGGAGATGTTGAGGTGTAGTGAGCGAACTACACTTCGATACAGTCCCCCATGAAAGTCGCTCTGACTTTCATCTCAATGGTTGTAAGGACGTTTCGGACACATTATTGTATTGTGCTTAATGGGTGAGCACAATTTGCACGGATCCGCCGGGCATTGTTCTGCCTTATGATTAGGTGAAAAGCAGCTCTCACACAGGCGCTTCTTTTTCAGCAGGTCTTGTTTTGCTGCCAATTTTGTGCATTTGAACACCATACATTGGGCATAATGGATGGCTTCCCTCGCATTTAGGACAAGCGAACTTCTTTTGTCGTTTTGGCTGCATTTGCTCATTGCTCGGGCCAGCTACCGGTTCAACTAATTCGGCCTCCAATGGTGGACGTGTAGCCGGTCGGGTTGATGGCATTCTTGCAATGCGCTTGTTTAAAAATTGCACCAAACCATTGAAAGTTGGTTGGATGCCATCTATCACAGCCCATGCCCAAAGTTCTTGCGTGGTTGGGTCCAGCAACCCATGGATATAAGCCACCAGCACTTGCTCCATCTGCACAATCGGATAACCCAATTCGGTGGACTTTTCACGAACCGTTTCAATCATATTTATGAACATTTTCATGCTCAAAGCTGATGGAATTTCCATACGATTCGCCGTGAATATTGGTTTAACTAATTTCACGAAATCCTTGTATGCGAGTTGCTCTTGTGCGCCGGCATTCGCGTCGGTTTCGTTTTCAATTGTGTGCTCTTGCTCCATTTTTTCGCTCGAATTTTTAATGTCCAATAGCTTTTTGGTTATTAGATAGCCAGTGCGAAAGTAGGAATGGTTGACATTCGATTTGGTCAAGCGCATCACTTCGGAATTTTGCTCCTCTTCGCCCATTAGACGAAAGTCATCTTGCACCATATTGAATTCGAGCTGTAATTCGCTCAACAATCTTTCATAATCATGCTCTTTGTCCTCCTGCACCTTTTTGCACAAATTGTCTATGATCCCGAAAAATTTTTCAGCCATCGTGCTCCTCGTTTTCGCTCACAGTGTTTTTTTTTTTTTCACAAATTAAAATTTTCTTGTCAATTGTTTTTATCTTTATTTTTTATGCACCGTTCACTTTTTTTTTCTTTTTTGCACGATAGCCTTTAATTTCACTTTCACAATTGCTCAAATCTGCCCAAATTTTAATTTTTGCTGTGTTAATTCACTTGAAACAATATGCTGTTGATAGCTACACAATAATTGTACCACGTTCTTCAAATGTCACACTGCGAATGATGCCCTTTCCGATACTTGAAACACACGTTGCGACGTTTCTCTGGTTCGCCGGTTCTTCCGTCTCTTTTTATTTGTTGTTTCATTCTAATATTGCACACCAAATTCTGTCACACTATGCTCTTATTTGGAATCAAATTGTGCCGGTTCTCTCTGCTCTTGCTAATTTCCGTGAACCCATTCACATTGATTCGTAAACATTGTCAATCTTGACACAGTTATGTTTATAATATCGGTCGCACAGCTGAGCACAAATACAACGTTCGGTTTTCATGTTGTTGCCTGTATACACACAGACATCATTTCCCGTTTGTTTATGCACACTTGATTTCTTCGCTCTTGCTCATTTGCACATTCATAACAATCATATACATTGTTATTGTAACTGGACGATCGCTTGTTGGCTGTTTACATTTCTTATGAATTTCTGCCCATGCTCTTTTCCCAATAACGACAACAACGGCATTTTTTTTTTTTTTTTTTGCTTTTGCTCACAGCACTCATTCGAAAAAAAAAAAAATTATTGTTTCTCGGAAGTGTGTTGCTCTTCATCCGATGCAATCGGCAATATGCATAATTTTTGCACAGCTCGTGTTAATTTATTGTTTTTCTGCGTTTTGATAACCACCGAACGAACCAAATTGTCTCTGCTAGGTATCAGCTCTATTATTCTGCCCAAAAGCCATCTAGCTGGTGGTAAATTTTCGTCTTTGACGACTACTAATTGCCCTACCTTAATTGGCTCTCGCTCTTGCCTCCATTTTTTGCGCGGTAACAAATGCGCTAAATATTCGTTGTGCCATCGCTTCCAAAAATGATTTAACATATTTGATTGCTCTTCGAATATTCTCTTTAATGAAGTACTTGTTTGCGCTGGCGCCGAAATTGGTGGAGGTAAAATAAATGATTCCTGGATTAAAAAGTGCCCGGGTGTTAAGGCGCTATAATCCGTTGGATTGTCCGACAACGCGTATAATGGTCGCGAATTTAGCACAGCCTCTATTTTGCTCAAGAAGGTAATTAGGTATTCGTAAGAATAGCACTTTGCGCCCAAAATACGTTTCAAATGGTACTTCATGGATTTGACGGCAGCTTCATAAATGCCGCCTTGATGTGGTGCAGCCGGTACCATGAATTTCCATTCCGTGCCCTTTTTGTTCAAATGCTCGATACTATCTGGCGTTATCCAATGCTTGAATGCAATCTTCAGCTCTTTGTTTGCACCGATGAATGCTGTTCCATTGTCACTGAACATTCTATTACAATGCCCTCGCCTCGCTATGAAGCGTTCGTAACAGGCTATAAATGCTGCTGAAGAAAGTTCCGTTACAGCATCGATATGCACTGCCCGTGTTACCATACATACGAATATAGCGATCCAACATTTTCGCTTATTCGTTCTGCTCTTATAGCGCTCTGCTATTTCCAATGGGCCGGCGTAATCGACACCTGTGTGCAAAAACGCTCTGTTTTGATTTATGCGCTCTTTTGGTAAATCGGCCATTAGCTGTGTTTCAAAGCTCTTATTGTATCGCGCACATGTCACACATTTATGTATGTAGGCTCTTAGCTCGTTTCGTAATTTTGGGATCCAAAAATTACGTCTAATAACCTGTGTCATTAGTTGCACTGAACCGTGAAGCGTTTCCTGGTGTGTTTTTTCGATTATCAACGCACTTAAACGTGAACCGTTTGGAATGATAATCGGATACTTCATATCATATGGAATTTCTGCGTTGCCCAATCGCCCTCCGACGCGTAATATTTGCTCTTTATCCATGAATGGACGCAATGCAAGTAGTGTACTACCGTCGGGACAGTTAATTGATTTTTCAATTTCATTTGAGTTTGAATGCTCGCTCAACACTTTACGTTCCTTCCCATATGAAACTTCTTGCTCTTTCTTTACGAAATAACACAATGCTCTTGCCAATTCCTCTTGACCTGGTAATTCAACCAATTCTTTTATTTGCTCTAGATTGATTATAAACTTGGGTTTGCACAACTTTTTTTCTCTCAATCTTTTGCAATATCGCATAACATATGAAGTTATGCGCAGTAATTTGCTCAAGTTATTTGTATAGTTTATCAGTTTAACTATTTTAACCCCACTTGGTGTTTTAGAGCCGATTTGTAAATCGTTCCTTTGAACCGAAATACTATGCACTTTCAGCTCTATATTGCACTCAGGTGGCATTGTGATTGCACGAAAATCCAGTGGTTTCGGCCAATTTTCTTGCTTCTCCCGAAGCCATGCTGGTCCATGCCACCATAATTCATTCTTTATAATTTCCTTAACGGAAATTCCACGGCTTATTAGATCGGCCGGATTGTCGGTTGTTCGCACATGATACCAGTTCTGAACCGACGTGACTTCCTGAATTCTTTTCACTCTATTTGCAACAAATAATTTCAGCTCATGCACCGGGCGATTTATCCATTGTAAAGCAATTGTCGAATCACTCCAGAAATAATGCTCTGCGCCTTCTAATCCCATTGCCTTACGCACCGTGACAAATAATTCAAAAGTTCCGCCGCCGCCAGCTCTAATCTCGGAATGGTTACCTTTTTTATCGGGGCTACCTTTGATTTTGATGCCAATAAATGACTGTAGATAGCACCATCCACATTTAGCACTCGTAAATAGATACCAGCACCATATGCTTGTACCGAACTGTCAGCAAATCCATGCAATTGAATTTTCGCTATTTTTGTTGCTCGTATCCAACGCGGAACTCTAATTTTCTCCAGTTCATTTATGGTTTCCCATAATTTTATCCATTGCTCTTTAATGTGATCCGGTACTGGATGATCCCATCCGCATTGCTCTTTCCAAATAGATTGCACTAGCATCTTAGCCTTGACTAATACTGGTGTTATAAACCCAGCTGGATCAAATAATTGCCCAATTCTGCTCAAGATTTTTCGTTTTGTTATGGTGTCATCAATATTTGCACATGAAACCACATAAGTAAATTCATCAGTTTTTGTAATCCATTTCAATCCAAGCACCGATGTTGGCCCTTGTTCGGTTAAAATAACGGATTCAGTGGCTTGCTCTGATAGCTCTTTTAACAAATTATCGCTATTTGAACGCCATTTGCACAATGGAAACTGAGACCCAGCTAACACTGTACGCATATCTTTTGCCAACGTTATCGCTTGCTCTTCTGTCTCTGCACCAGTTAATCCATCGTCCATATAAAAATCGTTAACAATCGCCTCGACTGCTTTTGGGTATTGCTCATACATTGCTCTCGCACCTGTCTGCATTGATTTTACCGAAAGGTAGGACGAAGAAGAAAGACCATATGTCACTACCACTAAACAATACTCTTTTAATGGTTGATTGCGATTTTCCCTCCAAAAAATTCGTTGCAAATTCCATTGCTCTGGCACAATTTTTACTTGCCGATACATTTTTTTAATATCAGCACTCACGGCATACCTATGGCGACGGAAACGCATTATGATTTCGATTAGATCCATTTGCAATTTTGGACCTACAAATTGAGCACTATTTAATGAAATATCTTTGTCCGTCTTACAACTTCCGTCAAATACCACACGAAATTTTTCAGAGCTCATTACACCGTGATGAGCTAAATAGTACACCATTTCGCCCGGTAACGGTGAATTTTTTGCCTCAACCATGTGCCCTAGTTGCTCATATTCGCGCATGAATTCGATGTACTTTGCTTTGAATTCTCCATCTCGCTCCATACGTGCTTCTATTTGGTAGAAACGTCGTTTCGCTCTTTCCCTAGAACTACCCAGCTCACTCACCGTTGGTTTCATCGGAATCGCCACAACGAATCGACCATCTTTTTCGCGATAATGGCTTCTTTCGTACATTTGCTCGACTAATTCATGCTCCGGACTCTTTTGCACACACAACGGTAGGTCTTCAAATGACCAAAATTTTTTGAGTAAGTCGTCCAAATCATTTATGCTCACAGTACATACGTTTCTTTCGAAACTTTGCTTCTCTAAATCGCTCATTTCTTTATCGCCGATACGACCAGAAATTAAGTTTCCCAACATTGATTCCTGAGAAACTAATTTTTCGCTCAATTTCTCCGATCTCCCTTCCATAATTTCCGCCCATACTTCGATTCCTAATAAAATTGAAATGTGATCTGCTCGCCAGAAGGTTGGGTCCGCAATATTTGGCGGTAATTTTTGCACGATTACGTCGCACGTGACGTCTCTATTTGGAAGAATAGGTGCCCATTTACATGATTTCGGCAAAACCCAAAATTCCGCGCTTATTTTCTTCTCGTTGCCGTTCTCAAACCACGGTTGTATCATGGCATTTACCTTTTTTCGAATTCGCACTGGCTCGTTACTAATGCCGTTTACACCACCATTAATATTTACCGTTTTCGAACTGCGATATTTCATCACGTTATTTTTCATCAAATTCGGTATTGCTCCGGAATCGCACAATGCTCTGAATAATCCAATTAGCTCGTTGTCAATGTATAATTTAATCATTGCGGTGGGTAACAAAAATATGCACAAGTTAGACCACTTTAATGAAGTGTATGATTGATGCACAGCTAGTCAGAAGTTTCTCCGCGGATTTCTTTTTTCGAAGCTCTTTTTCGATTTAAAGTTCAATGAATTGACCTGCTTGTTATTCATTGGATTTTTTGGGCACAATAATGAGTTGTGTTTAGCACCATCGCATCTCTTGCAGCCATCCGCAAAACATTCCTTTGCCGTGTGATACGGTTTTAAACAATTATAACACAGCTCTAATTTGCACGCCTTTTCTTTTCGCTCGGACCATTTCTCAATTCTCTTGAATTGTTCACAATGAATCACTGGATGCGTTTCTTTGCATACGCGACATGTTTTAAAATCACGTTTTTCAAATTTGCTCTGGCTCCCATTGCTCGATTCACCTTTTCGGTATTTCGAATCGTGGCCCCGTTGATCGTATGGATGCATTCGTTTTCGATTTTCTTTGCCCACTTTATGCTCCGTTAATTGCTCTCCTTGCAATGCCTTCGCGTGCTGGTCTAAAAATTCCAACATTTCTTGAATTGTCGGTCGCTCGGACGTACGGCTCAATTCGTAAATCTTTCGCGTTTCTGGATCCAATTTGTCATGGAGTGGATGCACAAAAAACAAATCGTAATGCTCAACTGGATATTTCAATGCCTTTAATTGCCGTAAAACCTCGTGGGTTGTGTTGCTCAATTTTTGCAACATTTTGCCCGAGGCCGTCTCTAATTTAGGCAATTCGTTAAATTTCCATAGCAGCTCTTTGCTAATATGAAATTCTCGATTGTACAATTGCTCCATTCTTGCCCATGCTTCCGGATAACATTCATCGGAGCCATCCCAATTACCGAAATCATCAAGTGCCTTACCTCTCAATGAACCATGCAAATATTGAAATTTGACCGAATTTGGAATCGTTTGGTCATTATGCACGGCGTGACAAAAGCGGTCATGCCATTCTTTCCACAGCGTCATTGAACCGTCAAATTTGCCCCAATTGTATTCAAACTTGTTGTTTTGCACCTTAACAACAATTGGTTGATTTGTCGACGCACTTGCTCCTTTTAATTGCTCTGATGATGTTAATTCCGTGATGGCATTTTCCTTTATAGCTTCATTGCCCGGATTATTTATTTCATCACCCGATACTTGTTGCCCGTCATCGCTCTGTTCCGATTGCAGTTGAACAATTCGGTTATTTATGCTCTTTATGGACTCAGTATATTGACCCTCTACCAGATCATACTGTTTATTTTGCTTTTTTATTTCCTTACGGTTTTGCACAGCTCTCAAATTCTTGATATAATTTGTTTGAAAAACTTTCCAATTTAATTCCAAACGCTCCTTTTTTCTTTCCAAATGCTCCAGGGTCATTGCTCGAAATTGCACTTCATTTCGCACTAACATAAATGTTTTCACTATAACGTGCTTACTCTTTGTTTCTTCTTCCATAGCGTCGTTCGAATTACGTCCGTTTAGGTCGGCGATCCAATTTCAAATGATCGATCTTATTGCATGCTTATAAGTTATGAGTCATACCGCTCAGTCGATTCTTTTCCTTTGCTCATATTGCTCATACAGTCGCACATCACGGTAGCCATTGTATTTCTCTTCCCCTTCTTCTCCTTTTGTTCGCTCTCTTCATGGCTAACTCGATATTTTTGCATTGCTCGTTGCAGTGTATAGAGTGCTATTGCTTCTTTTCGCCCGTTTGCGCTCAAATTTCTTTCCAAGAATTTCTCGCTCTGCTCAAAGCCTGTACACTCATCAACACCGCTCTTTGCTATTTCGATTATAATTTTTTGCTCTGCTTTCTTCTTGGTGAATACATTTTGTCATGGATTTCACACAATTTAGTGCCCTTTTTTGCGCTAATTATTCCCTTGTGAATAATTTCTGTTGAATTTCAAAAAATTCAACTTCTTTTGGAGCTCTTTTTGTCAATCCCATTGACTATGCGCTACAACCGTCTCCTTTTCAAATAAGCCGTTTGTTTCGCGCTGCTCAATCGAAATTAACGCCAATTGCTTTTAATTGGATCCTAATAATTTCGATTCTATATTTGTGCTCTTTGATGACGCTGGCCAGCCTTTCGTCTCGACCCATCTGTAAACAAAAAAAGAGAAAAAGAAAAAAAAGAACGAAACTATACCTGTTTTTCAAGAAGCATCGCAGCTTCTTCTTAGCTCCTTTTTTTTTTTTTTTTATTTGCACACAATTCTCGTCGTTTCCGATTCGATTGGACCAATGTTTCCACAGGGGAAAATAAAATGAAAAACAATATTTTTATAAGT